TGTGTATTATTACTGGAACAGTTCTGCTTAGATACAAGCATCTATTTTTAATCAATATATCAAGCATCTTGATAATCAAATGAGACTTGCTGGTTGGTCAATTCTTCTTCTTATGGATGGAGCATCAACTCATAGACTTGAAAAAGGCTACACTCCAACAAATATAAAGCTTCATATTCTCTCTTTGAATACAACAGCTCACCTGCAACCATGTGATACGAGAATTATTTGGAGTTTCAAGATAAGCTAAATAATTTCTTATAAAAATTTTTTTTATTAAAAATTATTAACACATTGTTGCTTATATAATTTAGGCGTATTATAAAAAAATTTTCTGCCAAGATCATATAGATTTATTCGATTTTTTTTTAGAATCTGGTGAACCTCCTGAACCCTTAAATATTAAGGATGTGATTGATTTTACCGCCACTGCTTGGAAAAAAGTAACCTCACAAACTATCCGTAACTGTTGAGAAAAAACTAGTATTCTGCCAAAGGATTTTTTTGATGAATTATTTCTTTTTGAGAATTCTAGTTTAACTAATGAATCAGATCTTATGGATGAAATTCAGAATTTAATTGGACAGTTACCTCTTGACCAACCCATGAGTGCGTATCAATATATAATTGCTAATAATGATCTTATTGCTACTAAGATTCCAACTGATGAAGAAATAATTGAGTCTGTTAAGAATCATGAATGCATTGAACTGGAAGATGAAAGTCCAAAAAAATTAATCTCCTTTGTTCAGGCCTTGGAATTCATTAAAGGAATCTCATCTTTCTTTGAGCAACAACCTGATAGTAATTTCAAAGTTGAAGATTCTTTTATTCGAGGTTTAAGACAACTTAAAAAAGAAGTAAATTTTAAGCATATTGCTTCAAAACAACAAGCCACCTTAGATACGTTTATTCATAGTACAAATTAAAGTTTTTTTTTTAAGTAAATTGGCTCAATAAACTTGTTGTTTGCTTTAAATATATTTTAATTTGTCTAGTGTATTTTATATTGTGTAATTGTGATTAACTTAAATCTATTTAAAATGTAAATAAGTTAAGAAGCATTAAATTAATACATTGCAAGAATACTTATACTAGGTTAATATCAAAAATCGCTTGTATATTTAAATAAGTTAGGCTCAATTATTTATGATATTAAAAAGTCGTAATTTAACTTATTAAAATATATTCTACTAGCATTACTTATATCTAAAATTCTTTCTTAAAGCTTTCTTTATTTGCATATTGAAATAACATCAAGTATTTTGTTTTTGTAACTTGAGTTATTACACAGGTCTTATGTAACAATCTGTGCTTTTTTAACTTGGTTATTGCACGGGATTGTATACCAGACACTGTGCAATAATGTTATTGTACGGGCATGTGAATAACCCGTGGCCGAAGGCTACTATATACCCATACAAAACTATAACTAACCTTCTATAAGTACGCATTTATGGAATAAAGAATAATCTACAAATAATGTTACATAAATTGCACTTATAGAGGGATGCACTTACGGAGAGTCAATCATACGTACCTAGTTTTTAAATATTTTAAATTTTCTCTTATTATAGTGAAGATATATATCTAATATATTATCTTCACTATATCGAGAGCCTCTTGATATAGTGAATCTTTCGATATAGTGAAGAAATTTTCATATCCCGATGACTTTACTATAACGAGAGTGACTTGTATTTGGTGTATCTTAATGGGCTCTACAACTTTTACTTATTTTATATGAGCTATTAACTTAGTAAAAAATTGTGCTATTTTAGAAAATATTTTGTTTTACATTATACAAAATTTTCTTTAGTTTAGTCAAGAATCATTAATTATAGTAAATTATATATAAAATCCTTTTTAAGAAATTTTGATACTAAAAAAAAAAACAACTTTATCTTGCCTAGTAAAAATTATATACTATAAAATATAAATATCAAATTTTCTAATAATATAAATTTATAAAATATTTATTATTAAAACTTTAGATTTTTAATAATTTTAAAATTTTAGATTTTTATTATATTTTTTACTAAATAAATTTTATAAAATTTAATTGTAAGTTTTATATTAGGCCATATAAAATTAGTTTTTTGGTTCTCATAATATAAAATTTTAAAAATGACCCAGCAACCTAGCTTTTAATTTTATTTTTAAAAAATTTTATATGTAAAAAACATATAAAATTTTTTACAAAAATTTTAAAAATTTCATCCAGATAATAAATATAGTAAAAATTTTTTTTCAAAATTTTGTAAATTTGACCTGGCCGGGTTATGAAAACCAATTAATTAAGTTTGTATGGCCTTATATTAAAACTTGTATTTTTTTATAAAATAATTTTTTATTTTATATTGTTTTTAAAATATAATAGTACTACTTTAATAATTATAGTTAAGTTTTTTAAAAAAAAAATTTTTAAATTTTATATTTATTTTTAAAATCAAATTTACAAATTTTATATATTTTATATATAAAATTTTGAATTGCAAACTTCATAATTTTTTTTAAAAAAATCTCTATTTGTTTGCCTCAACGAAACTCATATATTATAGAGTATAAATATTAAATTTACTAATTATATAGTCATCCCCCTCTATAGTTACCTTCTCTATAGTCACAACCTTAATATAATCATGTTTTTTTTTTTTTACCAACCTTTTTTATATTATTTATGCCTCTATATAGGCACAATCACCTTATAGTCACTATCATGTTTTTTTATTAACCAATTATAAAACATTTATATAAAATAGCCCTCTATAAAATCACACTATAAATATAATAAATCAGATAAACTTTATTTTATTTTACCTTTTATCATTATTCTATTTCTTAGCATAATAGTTCAAATACCTTTTTAATTTTTGTAGATTAGCTAGATCTAGCGCCAGTATTTGTACGTATATACACACTTATGTAATGGTTAGAAACTATAACTGATAACTTATTGTAACTACTTTTAGTTTTATAGATTGATCAGTGTACGTATGCTCACATGTAGTAGAACTTTTAAGATACCATAACTGATTGCATTGTTAAACCTGTTTAATTTGTAAAGTTATATGAGATCAGTAACTAAATTGTTAACGGTTAGGTCTCACCTTACATTTTTATTCGATTATAGCAAGACAAGTATAATGTTATTAAGGCAAATGTTTTTTATTTGAGCATACTTTTATCACTATATAGTAATTAATATTTAGATTGGTTTTTTTTTTTTATTTAAGATTCAAACTGTATCCTTTATTCTCAAAGAAGCATTACCTTCCCTCTTGATTCGATAACCAGAACCACGATGCCAACTTTTATTAATCATATTCAATTTTCTAGCTCTGCTACTCTCAAATAATATTTAAAGACTTCTTGTCTTTTTTAATACCAATACCATGTTGATAATTGTAACCAAGTTGACAGGTTGTTGATTTTATTCTTTTTTTTCATTTTAAATTAGAGACCGGATTGATAGAAAAGCATCTGGCAGATGCGCTTTGCAAGTGCATCATACAAC